ACATCGTCTGAAATATAATGATTCGCTTCTAGATCATCAAATACCTCCTCTTCATTAGCGTTCTCATCTCTGGTACTAGCAACATCTTCCAGTTATTAAAACTCAGTCTGATCTAAAGGGCGCTGTGAGCCTTCTGAAAAATCATCATGGAAAGATTCAAGCTTTGATTTGAATTATGACTCAAGTGTGTGAGAAGGAGAAGTGGTTTCAAATTTTATTTCAGCTGGTGAAGGCGAATGTGAAATGAGTTGAATCAGCGTTTCAGAAATGAGTTTCAATAATACTCGGAAATCTTTATTCTCTTCAGATTTTCCCAACTTCAAAGCTTTAATTTTTCTCAGGTCAGTCGGTAGCCAAGCGGTTCGGCGTGGGTGCTTTGTTCACTCACTCGAATTGACTGCCGTGTTGGTCGGTGGTTCAAGCCCTAGTCTGAACGATCGATCTTCACTTGCTACCGTCCAACCCGTGTTAGGAATCACACGTTAAAAGGTAAGACCTCGTTAATCCTTAGCTCGCACAAGTTTCGACTTCTGAGGGTTGTCGTTCGTAGGGGTGCGACAGCTGGTTAACGGAAAAACAGATTTTAAACAGATTTTTTTTTTAGCTAACTGACTGACAGTATCAACAGTTCTATCATTTATACTTGTTGCAGACATGATTCACGCTAATGAACAAACAGCTCACAGTCATATAGATTCATCAAATCCCATGCGATTTTGCCCATTTTCCACATCAAAACTTTTCACCATCACAATGGCGTTGGACTTATTTTTTGATTTTTTGAACATTTTGATCATATCATATTGAGTTCCTCAGATGAGAAATTTGAAAAAACATGTTCATTGAATACATGTTTCAAATTGATATCATTCTGCTTGAAGAACATAATGACATTACTGTTATCTCTTATCAAGTGTTTGGGTATTTTCGAGAAGGTCTGACGACATCGACTGACTTGTGTCGGCACATTGCAGAATATTATTTATGCCACATGCTATCTTGACAAATATGAAAATAGAGTTTTCCCTAGTAGCTCTGGGTGGGTCGATCATTTCATCGTTGTCATTGAAGAGAAAGTAACCGTCTTCTTATTCTGGGGCCACGGCTAACCTCAATGCCCATTATCGCGATTATTATCGCGATAATTTTCAACGCGCGAAAGTGGATGGCTAAACTTAATACGGTTAACGTGAATGTCCATGATTGACGATAAAAACGGCGTTAATTTTACTTGGAAGATGGACGTTGACACTGACACTGACGTAGTGTGGCCGCTTTATCGCATGAATTCTCGCGTTAATCTCTTTGATGTACCGCCACTTGAGCTATCGCCTAACGCCAAAAGGCAATGTTACTGCCATTGTCAAATTATTGCGTTAAGTCGTGGCTCCTCCTACGGTTAACGTCCATTATCGCGATAATTAATGGCATTTCTCGTTAGTGTGGCCCCAACATTATTTTTTTTGAATACATCTTCAAGTGACTGATATTTGGATTTATATAGCGAAATCAAGTATATCTAGACATTTTTAATGAATCTTCATTCTGGTTGGATAACAGGCTCATCATGGCATTGGTTTTGGAAAATTCGCTTGGATCGCCGGTAATAGTTCACCGTATTTGCTCTTGTTCGTAACTCAAACAAAATCGAAATTATCAAAAGGTAATGCTGATTTTTGCTGGGTGACCTTCATGACGTCTCCCTTTTCAGTGCCGATAACAATTGTTTTAAGTGCCCAAAACTATATTGAATGATTCAGTATTGTGTTTTAACCGAAAAGGTAGTGGCATTATCAAATGTAATCAAATGAACTGCCTTCTAAAATATACCCACCCGGATATCAGTACTACTTTCCTGGCACCGTATTGAGCAAATATTATCCCACGCTCGAAAAGACAAAAACGGTCCAGATTCCGTCTGTCCCCAACACGATGTTGCATATTCAAAGGATAAATCTTTGGAAGATTGTCATGAAACTGACTTAGATCTGGAGTACAAAGCGTGGAAAGGACTCAAGTCGAAAAAAGGCAGCCTCTTGGTTCGTCACCACAGTAATGAAGACCAAACGTGATCTCGGAATAGGATTGAAAAAATTACAATCTTCCAAAAATATCGTACATAGAATATCTCAGACTGCGGACGTCGCAAGGTTAGAATACCTCAAGAAATACCAATTGAAACGAAAAGTGGCGGTATTCTACCTTCAATACCGATATTTGCTGCACTCAGTGCTCTAGGTGGATCGGCTGGTGAAGCAGCAGGAGTTGCCAAGGCAGTAATTGATGAGAAAAATGCCAAGAGGAAACACAAAGTAGATTTTTGTCATGATAGAGCAATGAAGGAGATTGGCAAATTAGCAGAGGTATATTCTCGAAGGAACGTCATCGTGGTTATAGGATTCTCATTCGTAAATAAAAAACTCTTATTGAAGCTACCCAAGAGATCACTTGGGTAGCTTCAACAACAACGGTAAATATGGTCAAGTAATAATCAGTTCGTTCGAGAAAACGAAATCCTTACTATGAAGAATAAAACATAATGTTATTAAAATAATTATGCTTGGATATAAATTCATCCCGTTTCTCCTAATCAACAACTAGACGAGACGAAAACTGCTCGTTTTAAACAATCTGGTTTACTATGAATGTTGTGTTGGGTGGATATACTCAGTTGTTCTGTTCTGTATCTCAGATAGTTCTGTATCTCAAAATTATATTTCTTTCTTGCAAACACCGACAATCATTATGTTGATACGATGAATAAGTCACCCTGTTTATGAAGTTGACATGCAACCGGTTGATTTTCTGACTCAATTCTAGTTATATCGATTTGAAACAGATGTGACTATCGATCTTCCAAAAATACAAGAGCTCTAGGGAGCTGCCGTACTGTATACATTCGAAGGTTACACATTTCTTTTCTCTCTGAATCGAATTGGATTTGTTTCTGGGTGCAAGTTTGTCGGGATATGATTGAATTGTTCAGATTATGTGGCCGTTTCTTCGGTAGTGTCTTCTGAGTGAGATGTATGGTGACCCATTTGATATTGACGTAAATTTGCAAATAAATGGACATTTGAACCTGATCAGTTGAATAATTATCTTATTTCTTCATGTTAATAATAAATAATCTTCAAAACAAAAGACAGGTCATGAACTTTGATAGCTCAAAATGTACTTTTATAAATGGCATTGAACTTGGGAAATATTTTGGGTCAGTATACAATGGATATGAAAAAAAAAAGTAGTACGTCAATCTCAACAGTGATAAATATTTTGTGGAATTCCTCATTATCAAATTTCAAAAGTATGCATTCTTAAAATCTGAGAGAAGATGAGAAATTTAAATATCAAAAAACTAAGACTGTATGATTTGATAAAAACTGTGAAGTATATCTCATAATAAAAAAAAAAATGGATATGTGATAAAAAAAATTGTAGCAAACGAATTATCGTTGTTACCTAAAATGAGTAGATGATTGATGATTTTTCATCGACCTTTTTTGTAATGTAATGGAAAATATAATACATGTGTAGAAAGGGCAAATTTTTCAGTTCACTTCGATAAATTACAGTTAAGACACGCCCGAAGAAGCCATTGTTAGGCGAAACATGTGTTGCGTATTTGTAAAACTGTTCAGTGAAAGTTTCACAATAAAGTGTTTTTGAATACGTTATGGATTTGCATCAAGTACCTATCGGCCAATTCCATCATATAACTTACAGATAACTCCATACAATGGCTTCTTCGGGCGTGTCTTTACGTTAAATACACATCCTAAGAAGCCATTGTATGGCGAAATACGTGTTACGTTTTTGTAATACTGTTTAGTGACAACCTCACAATGAAGTGTTTTTTGAATACGTTATGAATTTGCATCAAGTATCGGCCAATTTCACCATATAACTTACATATAACTCCATACAATGGCTTCTTCGGGCGTGTCTTTACGTTAAAGAGACATCCCAAGAAGCCATTGTATGGCGAAACATGTGATGCGTTTTTGTAAAACTGTTTATTTTTTCAGCCTTCAAAAATATAACGGTAAGGAGAAACTGTGATTAAAAGGTGATTTTCATATGTAAACGCGCCCTTTTTATTCCCAGGGGGAGCGACACAGTTGTTTCGAAACCTGAATTTCACGACATTCAGAACGGAACATCGATTTTTAAATTTCTACTTCCAGAATGGCAGCCAAAAAAGTTTCTCATATTTGGTGCGTGGTTTAGCAGAGAAATATATGACACACAGGAAAAAATGTTTAAAAAATAGCCGAAAGTAACGGCAAACAGTATGTTGGTCAAATTGAGTGGCTTCAATATATCGTTACGAAGAACATGTTTCACATATTCGATTTCACAGATCAGAGAATGTTAGAGTCGCTCAACATGCCTTAGAAAACGGCCACATAATAAGTGAGAAATGCTTGAATCTGTCGGGATCGGTATATTTCTACAGGATTTCAGACAACTCGATAGAAATCGAAAAATGTGGAATGAGATCTATGAATATCAAGTCCCATTCGAAGCATCTCGATGTTCATTCTGTTACGTAATAATTATAGGTAGATATGAAAGGTGTCCTTACAGGTATTCACTAACATTACTCCAGATAATTGTGTGTTCAGATGTCTGTAAAAGTTTTCTTTCATCATAGCCTGATGTTACTAACTTGGCAAGCGAAACGCGTGTCGAGAAAAAGTAAATTCCTTTCAGTGTGGAAAACCATTTTCAATGAATTAATTTGACGCCATAAGTTTCAATTACATCCATCAAAATAAAGGAAATATTGGGATGCAAGCATGAAGAAATATATTGAATTCTGATTGGAGAGGGAAAATTTTCAATTTCATGAAGTCAAGAGTAATAGAGTTTCAACATTTTCATGATGTGATTTCAATTTTTGAAGTAGTACTGTTTGCAACTTCAAGTTATATGGGTTCATTGAAAGAAGTTTGATTTTAGTACATATTTCGTTGATTCATAACTGGTTGTTCCAGAGTTTTTGTAAATGGGTATTACGGCACCAACACAGGTTGAAACAAGCAAAGCGTTCTTGTTCTCTGCAAATTAAAGAAGCCCCTATATTTGATGATGGTCCCGATGAAAAAATAGAAGCAGATTCGACAGCTACATTCAGAGTAAGTATATATACGGTTCGATTCGATGTACACTAACAGAACTTCAACAACTACCGCTACTTTCAATATCATTTTGAAATTTGACAACATAACTTTTCGAAAATGGCGGTTCTACTGAACATGATTCCAAAATGTCAGTTCTGATTTCATCAAACGTTTATATAAATTTCATTACTTTGTTGTAGAGAGAAGTTGTTATCATATCTCATATCTCACACATATATCATATCTCACACATATTGATTCTAATATCTACAGAAAACACTGACAATTTGAAAGTACTGTCATTTTAGAATTGATAACGCTTGACGTATTTGGAAATACTGGAGCAGCCGGTTATTATAACGAATTCCATAATAAGCTAACAGATTTCTAAATTTGTAAAATGTACAAATACTTTGATGTGGTGTTCACAGAATCAGTTGTCTAATTTTTTTTGGAGAAACAGTGTCTAAGGGGAGGCACTTTCATTGAAGTTGCCCACTCAATTGATTAACATCGCAATTCGCAAGAAATATCATAATTTGGAGCCCCAACGGATGAAATTCTCACAGATAGCCAGACTAAACTTGAAGCCACGATTAACCCAAAATCAATCCCAATTGATACAACTCTGAGAATGCCGTGAAGAACAAATGAGTTGTCGGGCAGGTACACATTGTTTTGAAAAAAGAGAAATGAAACTGTCTTTGTTTTTTGCCTCTTTTATTTGTAACTATCGTTACTGTAGTTTCGTCCAATATTGAGTTTTCCAAACTAGTACAATAAAGTCCATAAAGGATGAAACTGCAGTAAGGATAGGTACAAATAAAAGTGTTAGGAAACATAAAAATTTCATTTCTCATCTTCTACCACGTAATAACGACTACATTAATCAATTCATTGAAGGACACATTGTTGCAATACTGATGAGTGTGCCAATCACGAATCATCAGAATTGTTGTAAATCATGCCCGAAAGAAAATAACGCCGGCCGCCAATGGTGACCATAAATCAAACGTGACGCAGCTGAGAGCGTGGGAATATCCATTGTTACCTGCCGCTCGAGGAGGAGCAAGAAACATGCTATCGATGTCGATGGAACTTCGGCGAAATTATACGATGTTCCATTGCGATATTTAAACGCTGGCTGCAAGCGTATTCGGTCAATCAAGTACACAGTGAAGTGGACGTAACAGTGCGGTACGCGAAGTGATCTAATAGGGCGATAGACATTCAAAAAATAGTTGAAGTTCAATTGAAGAGTTTGTTGTATTTAAAGTGATATGAAGTTGAGTTTGATTATTCAGTGTGGTCAATTATTGGTCAACCCACGGGGAAAAACGTAACAGAATATATCAATTTCATCATCAAATTGTTTCGATATAAAACTGTTTTTTCGAAGTACTAGAGTCATCTCATGATAAAAAAATGTAGAAGTCAAAATCTCTGGAAAAATACGACACTCACTGCCCGTTTGAATAAGGCTTGTTCTACTGATGAAGTCTCAAAAACACAAGGTGGATGAATGGCCATAACACAACAAAGAAAAAAGGTTGTTTTTTACAATAATGTGCCTAGCATCTACTTCAACTTCATTTTGAGATACCAAATGATACCAAAGCCCTACAGCGGTGTACTCATGATCCATTACCAGAGACTTCTGTTTCGATCTTATATAGATCTTACCAGTTGGTTTTAGAACCGTTTGAACACTTTCGTCTCCAACAAGAAAAATCTTCAATGAGAAATGGGCACAACTCCTAAGGAAGTCAAATTCAAGCCCGGGCCGTGTATATAGCTGAAATAAAAAAAATTAAAGCATTTTTTTCAAAATGCTACTTACTGCTTACTGGAGTTTTTTACCAACACCAAACCGTTACATCAACACCTCGACAGGTGTTTTGATCACCAAGTGATCATCTTCAAGAGGAAGATCAAACTTACTGTTGAAGATGATCACTTGGTGATCGAAACACGTGTCCAGATGTTAAAATAACAGTTTGGTGTTGTAAAAAAACTCCAGTAATATTAATAGCATTTATCCTAATTATAGGAAGTGTAATCTCACTTCTAATAATTCATCTGTCTGCCAAAAACAAAATCAGCGAAATTTCTTGGGGTTGAATGACTCATGATAATCTCCTCGATATTATGTACATCGGTATTCATTTCCAATAACAGAAGAAAAGGGTGAGTAAACACCCACCAATAACACTTCGACATAATTGTGTGGAGATCGACATGAATCTAGGATTTGAAAGTAATATACCTCTCGATAAAATACACATAGATATTTATGCCAATCAATAGCCTGAAAGGATGATTCAACTCCTCACGAAAATATTGTTTCGACGAAAGTTTTTTGTTCAACGTGTAACGAAAAAATTATTGCAGATTTACCAGGCTAGTGCAGTGGAGATGGGATTGGTGTTCTTTGGACTGACTTGCCAGTTTCAGATTTGTATTAGGTGTCAGGCAACGTTCTGGCTGGATATGGCTGTATATGGAATATAATAAAAATAATATGCGATTCTATGACAATTGATTGTATATAAATACAATTGAATTTATACAGAGGTACCTGTTAGAGTAGTTCTTTCCATGGTTGACTGCACCCTGGTTCGGTGTAGGTTGTCTTGGGTATCTGTCAGAGTTCAATGAGTAGGGCTTCTATATTCACCCTAGAGTGTTTCTTGGATACGGAGCCTGGACCTTGGAGACCAGTCGATTGTTTGGGGATCACAGTAGGGCTTCTATATTCATCCTTGTATTCCTTGGTAACGGAGTGTGGATTTGAAGACCAGTCGATCGGTTGGAGGTCACAGTAGGGCTTCTATATTCACCTTAATATTCCCTGGAGACTATACCTTGAAGGTAAACAGCTCAGGTATTGCTCACCTTGGTAGTGGTATCATGAAAACGATATGAACTAATGACACATGGAACCAGATAGATGTACACTACACTTGAACCTTGGATGTCTATCGTAACTAAAGTCTTTCAGCGAATATACAATTAATGAATATATTGAATACAGAGGAGAAAAATTATACACATGAATTCTAATATCAAAAATCTTGAACAACAGTTCTACAACAATGTTTCAACAAGCGTTGAGACTAAGGTTCATCACTGAATGTATATATGTACAAATATATATGAATGAAACTGTTTACATACACAAAATATTATCAATACAAGTAAATTGTAACAAAAGAATATTAAACAAGAAAATGTTTGTTCATTGAATCAAAACATTTACTAACCTCCTCCAAATTAATTTAATAATTTCAAAGGTAAAGATAAAACATAGGACTTGAGATGTAGATAAAATAATGGTGAGACACAATTTTCATAATTTGCAATGAAGATACGAAATCTCAACTTTTAAGAAAATAGCCCACTGGACCTGGTGGTGAGGTGAGATCAAACACACAATTACTGATTTTCAAGATTAAATGAACATGTGTGTCTTAATACTCACCCAGAATCATCTCCAGACTTGATATACAGGAATCCATGTGGCTTGCTGTGTTTCTAATATACACTGTGTCCGTAAAGTATGAAACAAATTCATTTTTAGCTAAACAGGTCATTTTAAGAAATAATCCTGAAACACGTCGATTTTTGATGTTAATTTACCGTATTTTAAAATAATAATCTAATATACA